TCAAGATTTTAGATGACCACTAGAGGAAGCTAGGAAACACTTCAAACTCAGAACATAATGGTTGCAACAGAAGTAAAGACTATTTAACACTTAGGTACATACGTTTCCATTCCATTTAATCTTTTCTGCGCGATCTAAACAGAACTTTATTATTGAATAATCTATCTCATCGGGTCAGTGTCAATAATTCTTTTTAGTTAGCATTTAGTCAAAATACACATAAAACATAAAAATTAAGTATACATTGAAGGAAATGATTTTTTTAAGATATATTTTTAATGTTTGATTTTTGCTTAGCCTAATATGAATAACTCTTGGATATGCAAGTAGTACTAAGCTTTTGAGAATAGATGTTTAATCTACACTTTCTGGTAGAATGAAAGAATAAAGGAATGAATGAACAAATAAAATAGCTGATTTTTAATCTCTGTAACATTCTGTCTCCTAGGTCATTCAGTTTAAAAAACTTCCCAAGATTTTGGTTCTTTAACCCAACCTAGACATCTTGTTGGAGAGCTCTGATAATTAAAATGATTTGTGGTAATAGTGCCCTGCCAATTACCTTTAACAAATTCTCTTGTAAATCTTCATTATCATGATCATAAATAATGATTAAGCTTCCATTTGTAGATGGTGGTGTAATGAGAAATTGGGAAATGTGCAAAAAAAAAAAACAAACAAAACAAAACTTAGGCTCTCCCCTTTTAATTAGCTATACCTAATATTATTATATTTTGCACTAAAAATTAGAAATCAGTTTGAGTAGCCCCAGGTTAAAAGGTTTGAAAGAGAAAAAGGAATTCTTCTGATTTGATTTTTTTTAAATCTCTGAACAGGCAAAACATAGGCCAGTTCCCAATTTCTGAGAAAACATGATCACATAAGTCAAAAGAAAGATAAGCAGCTTAGAAAGCTGAAGAAGAATTGTACAAACATTTGTAGGACAAGAGGTAATTGTCTTAAGGAAATTTAGGGTGGCATCATTCACTCATGATTATGAAAGAACAGCCTTCTTTAATTGTAACCATATAGGTAAGGTATTATATTGTGTGTTTATAGTGTGTGATTAACTCTGCAAGACCACTTTCCTATGTGTATGTGAATGTGTATGAGGAGGGTGGTGTGGGCCCGGGAACGGGAGATGTACTAGTAAGTTATCATAAAATTTTATTGAAGCATGCTGTCTTGAGCCACATCATTATTGTGCCTCAAGGGTAAAAGTCTGTAGCAGATTTAGTTCTTGGGAACCACAAAATGCTAAACTTTTTCATACAAGATTGTTACCAGGAACTTTAGAGTTTGAAATCAATCACTGAAACCATTGCAGATGACCTTTCACTATCCCGAGGGAAGTTTGCATAAATAGTACTTCATAAATATGCATGCATTTCAGATTTGCTATTTCTTAACAAATAAAAGCTACGTATTATGGAAAATATAAAAGCCTTTGAACAGTGCAGGGAGCACTGTTAATCCAACCTGTTTTCTTCTGAATGTATTTCTCAGACTAATGTTTAGAATAACAGAACAAGTAATTCAACCCGGCAGAACTCAGTCATGCCCTTATGAGCCTTGGTCAAACGCATAGTGCTTACCCAGCTGTCCCAAACCAAACTAAACTATTGATAGCTGTTGTGTATCACTATTACCACAGAATAATTCAGTGTGACCTACCTACCTGTGGTTAGTGACATTTTGAATGTCTAGGGATGTTATGAGGGCAGAAAATTTGAATCAGACTATGAAAACATCAAAGCAGGATGCTTGGAAAGAGTTCTCGCTGCCACATTATGATTTTTTTCAGAGATGTTTTTGTAGTCTGTGGATAGAGATGTGGGTGCAGAGTTAGAGAAGAAATAGGGGACAGATTGGCACCATGAAAGTTTTACATGTTTACATTCATATCTTAGAAAACTATTTCTGGAGGCTACGCAGAAAAAAGATAGGAGAAAAAATTGACCAGAGATGGGGAAAAGACTTTGGAAGTCGTTATAACAGATGGTTGAGAGGGAATTAAAGACAACTACAGCAATGAAAATGGGAATTAAAAGGGATAAATAACATGGAGATTTGTATGTGGGGTTCATTAATGGGTTTTGAGATCTCATTTTGAGCTTTTGCTGGTGTCCAAAGTGCAAGCTTAGGACCCTGGGAGTAATTAGCCCTGCCTGGACAGCCCACTTGATACGTTGTGTTGCAGGAAGCACTGGAAACCACTGTGAGCTGAGTCTGCTGGAAAACTGACACTTTAGAGATTTCTCTACAGAGGTACTAGTAGTGGATTAGAAAACACATTAGTTAAGGTCCATTCCAGGCCCTCCTTTAGGAGCAAAGCATTTCCAGATGAGAAAATATCCCAGAGAAGCCAGACTGTGTGCTTCCCAGGGACAGCTCTGCGGCAATCTTTGTGTCTCCTGTCTTATCCCAGTGCCCAGCACACAGCAGCTTTTAGAGATTTCTCTACAGAGGTACTAGTAGTGGATTAGAAAACACATTAGTTAAGGTCCATTCCAGGCCCTCCTTTAGGAGCAAAGCATTTCCAGATGAGAAAATATCCCAGAGAAGCCAGACTGTGTGCTTCCCAGGGACAGCTCTGCGGCAATCTTTGTGTCTCCTGTCTTATCCCAGTGCCCAGCACACAGCAGCTTTAAAAAAAAAAAAAAAAAAATCTAAAAATGATCCACACTTTCCACTCAGTCTACACAATGAATTTATTTAAAATGTATTCCTAGTATTAAAAGTATATCTTAAAAAGTAACAAAAATACCTGTAGGAAATGGAAACATAAGCCATACTAATCAAAAAGTCTTGAAAGAACAAAACTGAAAATACTATATACAAATTAGATGAACCACAGGACTGAAAAAACAATATAGTACAGAATGGGTGAATAAACCACCAGGAATTAATAAACCGTGTGAGAGGGAAAGATTTTTATGTGCTTACCTGCTATAATCTCAAAACCTAGAACAATGCTCAGCACATAAAAGTCGCTCAATGAATAAATGAGCTGTCTTGGTTTTAAAAAATTAAAAAAGAAAGAAATACAATTAGCTTCTTCTGCTATTAGAAGTTGACTTGAGACTTTTAAAAATTTGTTTCAATTTTAGAACTAAAGAAAATATCTCTCATGCAGCTGTAAGTAATTTTTTTATATGTAGACCACTGCCAAATAGTGATACTTTAATCCCATCAGGAATAGAAAATAGAATGCAAATTGTTCTTTCTCTCATGACACAAGCCCTTATTCTCTTGCCCTGTCCTGCAACGCCAGAGAAGCTTGAGACAGAAGGTCATGTGTAGATGCCTGACATTTGGTTCTCTCCAGGGAAATAAACTTGTTTAGCTAGCTTAATATTCCTTGGTAAACTACTAATGATTGGTTGTTTCGATGTTTTTCTCTAGCTCTACAGATATTTCTTCTCAGTGACATGAAGAAAAATAAAATATTGAAAGAAAAAAGTTTCACACTTGAATAATGAGAGAATTGTCAAGGAGCATATTCCTGAATCAATCAAATATTATCTGTGGCAACATTCTTGTCAGGCAAGAATTCATTCTGTTCATAGTGCAGCATGTCCTCAAGTATTTCAGTCTTTTCTTAAATTCGCCCAGATAGAGTCATTTTTACTATTGAAGACTTGCTGTTGTGTATGCATTTAACAAATATTTACTAAGTATTACTAATGTCAGCTACATTCTAAGACAGGTTCCTAACAGTCAGGGAGTTCATAGTCTCCTACAATTCCCTATAGGAGATTCGATGAATTAAAATGCCCTTGCATTTCAGAACTAGTTTAAACAAAAAAATGAAGGGAAAAAAACCATAACATCTTTTGAAGTGCTATTTTGTGCCACGTACATTTTAGAGGCGTATCCCTAACCATCCTTTCTAAACAGCTTCTGCCTCACCCCTGCTTACTTTTTTCTGTCCTGCTTTTTTTTTTCTTTTCATCTATTAATCCCTACTTGATATTGTTCACTGTACTATCCAGCTCTGAGAAGTAGCTGGCATATGATAGGCTTTTTGTAGTCAGTGCATAAATGAACTTTGGAGATAGGAATTCTTGTTTTACAAATGAGACCAAAATCGATGACTTAAATGATTTGCTCATGATTGTTCAACTCTTAAATCACACATCAGGGGTTTAAACCTTAGCATGAAGGTAAAGCCCATGTTCTTTCCACAATCCTCCAAATGCATATTTCTTTACAGAGGTATGACTCTGTCTTCTTTTGCTAAACACCATTACATAAAGGACCTTGGAGTTACAGAGATCTTGCATTCAGGAGCCTGATAATCTAGTTAGTAAGAAAAAAAAAATAGCAATCCAACTGAAAGTGTAAGGCACTGTCTGGGTGTGGAAGAAACCTCAGAAGCAGTGAACTGGAGGAAGGTGAGCTGGGCCTGGTCTGGATCGCACAGAGCACTGGCTGGGGTCTGTCATCCCTGGAATATGAATAGTGAAATAAGTAAACTCCTTCAGCGTAGAAAGCTTTCCTACCAGCCCTTTCTTTGAGCCCCTGTTCCTTTAGAAACCAGAGAATAGTAGATTTTTCCCACTTTTTACAGAAGGAAGATGGTGGAAAACAGAAGAAAGGCTCATTTTGAAGGGAGTTTGGAGAGTGTGTGGTCTTACTAAGAAATGAAGGGGTAGAGAAAAACAATTTTAACAACTGAAGTTTTGTCTAGAGAGAGAGAAAGTATGGGAGCAGAGGGTGGAATGAGGAGCTAACTTCAAAATGAAAAGTTTGTTGCCTGTCCTTACACTTAGTTGGTGAACATCTGAAGTGTCCTGAACTCTAAGAGCTTTTGGCTCTTTCTAGTAGAGAAGATTTAGATTTATTCTCTTGGTCACTAAACAATGGAACCAAAGGGTGAAAGCCTGGTGGAAACACGTTTTTACTAAAGAGATGGGGCCAGAGAATTTCCAGCAGCGGCAGGCCGCTTCCTGTGCCCCGCGTGGACAGGGAATCACCGCCTAGGGTCGTGACGCACTGGTCCGGGGTCGCCGGCCGGGGGCGGAGACCCGGAGCGGAGTTGCGCGCGCGTGAGAGACTCCAGCTGCATGTCTGGGCTCCCCTGGGAGCGCCGCGGGTCCCGGCAAGGGTGCGGGTAGCTCGCGCTCTGCCTTCGCCTGTAGCTGCAAGCGCGAGAACAGAACGCAGGATGCTCGCGGCCGCGGAAAGCCTCCTGCGCCTCCGCCCGGGGCTCATCCTCCGCTGCGCCCCAGGCGCCGCTCGAGAGGCCACGCGGTGGCCGGTCGCACCCATCTGGCCCCGGCATCTCCCCCGCTGCTCCAGCGGCGGGGTCCCTAGCGAATCTCGGCCCCAGAGTCCCGGTGAGTCAGGGTCGAGAATAGCCTAGGAGGAAGGGGGCTGCGGCAGGGAGGGCGAGGAGCTGGGGCTAGGAGTTGAGGTGTAGCGCGCGCTTATCTGCTGTACTGTGAGTCTTTCGGTTCCTCCATCCATCCCTGTCGCTTTAGCAGCAGGGAAGGTCCACAGGGTCCCCGCCGAGCACAAACCTTCCCAGTTCGACAAGAAAATCCTGCTGTGGACCGGACGTTTCAAAGCAATGGAGGACATCCCGCCTCGGATCCCGTAAGTGTGTCCCATGCCGCAACCCGAGTTCCGCGCGCTGCGGAGGGTCCTGCCCCGGGCCTCGAGGGCTGCAGAGTCCACCCACACAGTGCCTCACAGCAACACCTACCACCTTAAGGAATTTACCTACGCCCTCCTAGTGCATTTAAAATGTCAAGTTCCTCGACTGGACGGTAAGCAGCTAAGCTTACCGGGAGATTGTCGAAGTGGGTGAAAACCCAGTTCAGTGGACACTTCCACCATCACCCAGATACCTGCCCCCAGTGAGCTCCTAGCACCCTGGGGGGGCTGCAGCTCGACAGGGATCAGGGACGGCTGGAGGGTCCTGGCCCACCCAAGGAAGTGTAATGGCCCATGGGGTGGCTGGAGAGTCTCTGGGATGAAGCCGCATCCGGGCGACCTCCTTTTCTGTGGCGGGAGACGCCTGGCCTACCTGGCTCTACAGCCTTGCGAGCACCAAGTTTAGTCTGGCTAGGAAGCCGGGAGCGTCAGCGTCGCCGGCCTCTTAAACCAAGATAGAGGTTCTATAGATGATTAAACAACTTCATTTCTAGGGTAAATGTAACCGTTTAAAAATATATACAAATGTAACCTGTAAAAACCATCTTTCTACAGTTTGCGTTTATGTAAAGCCCAAAAAGCTTCCCAGCATTTTTAAAAGGGCATGGGTGAAAAAGGAAGGAAGGAAACAAAGAATAAAATTAATTTAATACTTTTTAAACTGATTTTTTAAAAAAATAGACTAGAACTATTATATAAAATAAGAACTTTAGATGTTCTGTATATTTATGCAACATAGTCAACGCCTGTTAGAATGGATAATGGAAACTGGGGCTACTTTTTGTTCTGCACATATTTCCTTCATTTTTATTTCTTATTAATTTACTAGTTATCAAAAGCATATTAAATAAATGAAAAAAAACGTGGTGGGAAATATTGTCAGTAATGAATTCTCAACCATTTTTATTCCTTTCTTGGATCATGTTATTTAATGAGGAATGAACATAGGATTCAAAATAACATAGGATTGGAAATGTGTTCAGCTTTTATTCAATCACAGAGACTTTTTTTAATATTATAAAACAGATTTTATTTTCTTTGAGTTCTGTAGATTCCAAACTACAAACAGCCCAAAGCAGAAATTAGCCTCGGTAAGACTAAAATCTCACCCTCAGTTTTTTGGATTTTGAGGTCTGGTGCTACAACTGAGGAATCAAGAATGTAAAGACCCACATTATCGTAAATTAATGCTTATCATTGTATTAACATAGCAATGTGTGTGAAGAGGCTCATTTTATAGGAATAAATTTCCCCAAAATCACAGTCAAAAGAAGTATTATAAACAGGAGATGCCTATGAAAAATATTTTAGTTTTGTGTTGGAGACATGAAAGTGTTTCAATATTTTTTATTTTTTGTGTAATTTTTAAAAGCATTCCTACTTAGGAGGGATATGTTTCCTATGCTTGGTTTTAGACTTACAGTGTAAATAGCTTTCACTTTTTATGCTCTTAATGGACATATAATTACCAAGTGACCTATAATTTTTGTACCATACGCTAATGACATTTAATAATAACTGTACTTTTTCTTTTTTTTTTTTCAGTGCTAAACTAATTTGGTATAGTAGATCAAAGCCAAATGGATGGGTAAAAAAATCAGATCTTTTAGGTTTCATCTGGAACAAAAGTGAACAACAAATGTAATCTAATAATGTCTTCATATTCACCTGTTTGCAACTAACATCTTAAAACTTACATTAATCTGCCTAAAATCTAAGAAAAACAGACTAGATATTGGTTTTCTGTGCTCTTTCAACTAGTGGAAAAGTTTTTCATTTTTAAGAGAAATTGCAACTTGTCTTTCTGGATTTTTTTTTTTTTTAATGTAACAGCATTCTATTTAAGCTTGACATTAGATAAGAATGAATACTGCTGAATATATTCTCAAGAATTAGTCTTTATCTGTTCGTAAACTGCCACTTCATATTATTGCAGATTGTTAAAGTTGATTTCAATATGAAAGGCCACATGGCATAATTACTTTTGTAACACTAGTTTGTAAGGAGTATTGCTAAGCTTTTGGACAACTTGCATATAACTTTATTAATAAATAAGACTACCTGGTGTTCAAGTGAGCATATAAAATTTCAGAATAATAAGAAAACAAAGATCTTTTCTCTTTTGTTTGACACATTACTGTGATTTTGATCATTAATTTTGAAAACTTCATACAAAAGCCATGAAGGAAACACCCTTCCTCCACAGTCATTCTCACAAAATGTATAATAGTTTTTTTTTAAATGAAGTAGGATGGGAGGGGGCAAGAAGATATTGGGAGGGCAGTGAAAACACAAAATGAAGAAAATGAGATTTAAAAAACAACCTGCTTAAAACTGAAAACAAAGCCCACTTAATAACACAGGGGCCAAATAAGCATGAGTCATACACATACAAAGACTTTAATTCTTAACTTACCTCAAGCAGTGAAAAAGAAAAATTATGGAGAGTCAGGAGTCAGGCCATAATCTCTAGTAGTTATATTTTGAACAATTAGAAACTAAATATACTACATTGTTGTTTCATAGTGACTTATATTAGTTACTGATACGACTTAAATAAATACTTCTTAATTTTAAAATTGGTAAGATAATAACCTAGTATTTGGAAGTCTTTCACATATGTAATTTGCATTCAGAGATTTTGGAATATTAACATTACAAATCATTGTCTATTATGCCAGTCAGAAAATCATATTACTTTAATATAATTAACAGGCTACATATCTTGATTTAGGCCAGAAATGATAGATGCTGCAAGAAACAAAGCTCGAGTGAAAGCTTGTTACATAATGATTGGACTCACAATTATCGCCTGCTTTGCAGTGATAGCATCAGCCAAAAGGGTGAGTACCTCTTTAAAATAAATATAGACATTAAAGATAGACGTATAGTATGTTTTCATTTAGAAGTATGGGGGAAAAAAATAGATAACCTTGTGAATTTTAAGAAATATTATGAGCTTTGTTCTCCATTTGGGGATTATTGCTGTTCTTCCTATAAAAGAACAATTTTGGCTGAGACAACTTGAGCGACCCACATAGACCTGTCATACTGGAAATACACTTGTTCATGCAAATTTGAGTCAACAACTTAACTATATGGGCAGGAGAGACAAAAGCTTGTTTCCATTTATAAGATAAACAAAAACAAACAGTATATTACCTGGTCAAAATCTGCACAAGAAGAACTTTGATGTAGGACAGTTATCCAGACTAGATTATTCCTAAAATCATGAATTCAATTAGCTAGTGCATAGAATAATAAAAGTTAGAAATGCAAAAGTTGGAAGCGATCGCCAATGCTGACTAGTTTGTTTGTATTCTATATTTGAGCCCTTTTCTTGCCATCTTCAATATGTAGTTTCTAGAGAGAAATTAAGGCCTAATTATTCTCTAATTTTGTTTCTCGCTTCCCCAAAAACTTTCATCTGCTGATCCCGTTTTACCATGAAGAGTAGCCTCACACATATTGGGGGACATCTAACATCCCTATGTGTCTTCCCTTCTCCACTCTTAGACTCTTTCCTTTTTCCTTCCCTCTATTTTGAGCTCTCTCTGGACACACTCTAGTGTATCAGTGTCTCTCTTCATTGTGACACCTGAAGTTGAACCCATCAGTGTATATTTGTAACTTCCTTGTTTATGAACACTGTGTTTTAGTAGTACAGAGTTGGAACTAGATTTGATAGCCACATCACAGAATAATTTGCTGGGATCCATATGTTTTCACTCTGGGCATGTTTAGCCAATGCTCAGATAATGGTGATTTGGAATGATAATTCTGCCTAGTCCAAAGATTCTGCTCTTCTCAGGTTTTCATAGTATTTGAACCCAATAATTCACATATGGAGTAGGGCATCTAAGCTTCCTGATGTATACATGTTCATTCATTTCTCTTAGCTTGACAAAGAATTTATACTTTGAAATTATTATGATCAAATGGAAAAATTCTTAAATATTTGCTGGGCTGACAACCTAAACATAGAAATAAAGAAATTTGGTCATCTCTTGTTTTTAACCTACTTTAAATAAAATGACTGCTCTCCAAGTTGATGATTCTCTAGCTCTTAAATGATAGATTAGAGCCTGATACTGTCTGGAACCTTCCTGTTTCATACCATCTTCTCTTCGTTCATTATACTCCATTCGCACTGGTTCTTTTTTATTTTTTAATGCACCAAACGCTTTCTCCTCTCTAGGCTTTCCTTCTTTTCCCTGTTCTTGCCATAGCTGGCTTATTCTCATTTTCCACAGGGAAGGCTTCCCTGACCACCCCATCTAAAATGGCCTCATCCAGGTATTCACTGTTTTATCATCTTTCTAGCCACTCACGAGTAAGTTATTATAGGTCAGACATCTTGTTAACTGTACTTTAAAATAGATCCACAATTGGACCACCCCTCACCATCTTTCCTGATATCACCCTGGTCAATACAACTGTTGCCTAGTTTATTGCAGTAACTTTCAAATGGTTTCACCGCTGTCCCTTTTGCCACTCTCCAATTCACCTTTCATTTTAAATCATTAATGCATGTGCCTTAACTAAGATTGTGGCAGATCGGAGGTGGAGAAAAGTGTAGCAATTTGAAATAGATTGGGGAAGATACAAAGGATAGAACTTTGTGGTAAATTCACTGTATGAGGAGGAGAGAAAATGGAAGAAAGAAACCCAAAAGCCTGGGTTTTTGATTTGAACAACGAGATGGATGATGATACTATTGTTGAGATGTGTAAGGCTGAGGAAAGAACTGATAGGTATGACAGTCCTCTATTTTGGGTATATTTGCATATTAGACATCCATCAATATCAAATCTTTGTTTATTCTGCTAAGGACATAGTATTCTCTTCAGTCTGAGGACCTATAGTTTTCCTCACTTCTTAAAAAGTTTAAGCTGTCTTAACTTCAAATATGGCTCCTCCCAACCTGTCTACTCTCTCCACCTATTATGAATGTACGTTGGAACTTGTAATTCTATAATCCATGTCTCTTAACTTCTCTCTTCTATTTTTTTGTATCTTTATCTCTGTACTGCATTTAGATTATTTCCTAAGATCTATTTTCTAGCTAGAATTTTTACTTCCTAATTATAATGCTGATTTCTTTTCACAGTTGATTTCTGCCCCAGATAAATGCCTAGTTTCTTTGCCAGTTCCGGGGCTGTTGAGAGAAGTTTTAGTAATTTCCTAGGGGTACCTTTTCCTGATACCCCCAACTTTTTATTGGTAGCTCAGCTCTATGCCCAAGATCCAAATCCTGGACTTGCCTGTTGGTATAGAGATTAAACTCCCAGCCCACAGTTGTTAAAGCCAATGTTTTCCCCTAATGCCCTCAGACTAAAACCATTTCCTTCTGTCCTGGCTTCAATCCTTCTCATTCCCCACCAATTCACACCTTTTGAGTTCTTTAAATTTCTGATGCCCAAGGATTTCCCTTTCTTGATTCTGAACTTAAGTATTTGAAAATATTTTTGTTACTTTTTATCCAACAAATATATCTATGTGTGCCAAGGGAAGTTGGGGCAATATCTGATATCAGCTGTCCTGCTGACTGGAAGTCTAGCAACTTAAGGAATTTTTTTCTACACCAAAGGATCATTTTTCTTGAATACTAGTTTTGACAGATGGTATAAGTTACTTTTCTCCTTTTCACAGAGTCTCTCCTATATATGTCTATCTAAAACAAATTCTTGAGTGACACTGCTTTCATTTGTTTGTTTGTTTGCAGGCTGTAGAACGACACGAATCCCTGACAAGTTGGAATCTGGCAAAGAAAGCAAAGTGGCGTGAAGAAGCTGCATTGGCTGCACAGGCTAAGGCTAAATGACGTTCTAAGTGACCAAGTGTTCATCAGAATGTCATCACTATTATCTGCAACAATAAAAGATAGGTAAAATAGAATACTGAACAAAATATTTGCCGTGGGCTTTTTTTTTGGTGACAAGAAGCATAAAGTGTTTTCTATGTTTACGTTTTAGTACATGTTTATTGAAGTATCACATATTCAGACAAGCACACAAAAGTGTATATGGCTTGACAGATTTTTTACATGGTGAACACACTTGCACAAACACTGCTCAAGTCAAGATGTAAAATATCAAGAGCACCTCAGAAGCCTCCTTTCTGCTGTCAGTCATTACCTTCCAAAGGTAACCATTGTTGAGTTTTATCACCATACATTAGTTTTTGAACTTTGTGTAAATGGAATTACACAGTATGTGCCTGTGAGTGTAGATTCTTATACTCGACGTTATGTTATGAGATTTATCTACAAATTGTGGGTAAAGCCAATGGCTGTAGCAGGAACCAATCGATATACCCTTAATCTTGCTGTTACTGAGAATTCAGGGCTTTAAAAAAAGACATTTTTGAAGTTCATCTTGCCATTGAACCAGAAACTACAAGTGAGCATTTGGTACTATGGGCTAATCAGATAGAGATAGCCTTAGTTATGACAGCGGAATCTGGGTTTGGAAGGCAGAAATTCATGTTAGGATGCCAAAGGCTCACTCGTTGATGGTGGGGTGGGTACTGACACTGTCCATAAATGTACAGTCAGGAGGTAATATGACTGTGTCTGGCAATGCCATTGTGAGAAGTAAAGGCATATCTGTCATCAACATGTTAAAAAATGTTTGTTCAACGTCTGCTCAGAATGGCTATTATCAAGCAGTCAACAAATAACAAGTACTGGTGATGGAGAAAAGGGAAACCCTTGTGTACAGGTGGCAGGATTGTAAATTGGTACAGCCACTATGGAAAATAGTATGGAGAGTCCTCAAAAAATTAAAAACAGAACTCCTATATGACCCAGCAATTCCACTCCTGGGTATTTATCTAAAGAAAACAAAAACTAATTTGAAGAGATACATGCACCATTATGTTCATTGTAGCATTATCTACAATAGCCAAGATATGGAAACAAGGTAGGTGTCCGTCTATAAAGATGTGATACACACGCACACAGAATATTACTCAGCAACAAAAAAGAATGAAATCTTGTCATTGTGCCAACATGGATGGACTTAGAGAGTCTTATGCTAAGTGAAATAAGTCAAAGACAAATACCATATAATTTCACTATATGTAGAATTTAAAAAACCAAAACCAAACAAACAAAAACAGACTCATAGAGACAAAAACAAACTGATGGTTGCTAGAGGGGAGGGGATGGGGGAATTGGTGCAAAAGGTAAAGGGAAAAAAATTTTTTTTTATTTTACCCCCTTTTAAAGGGATCAGTATAATTTCCAATTCCTTACAAAACCCTCATGGAGTAGGCCAGCAAGCCAGGATTATCAGTTTTATGGTACAATTTAACTACCTATTTCATGAGAAAAAAAGTGATTCAAACAAATGTACAAACCTTCCTCAAGTTTCACATAAGAAAAATGTAATAGGCTCAGAGAAATTTTCCTTACTGTATACTCTTTAGTATCTCATACTGAAGTGTTATTCTTTGAAAAATGTTAACTCTAGGATGCAAGTAGGAATATATGTCTATTTAAATACAGTAAGCTATGGCAAGGAATGACTAAGTAAGTTAGCTAGAAATACAACAGTATTTTTTTTTTTTTTAATCTCACACTGATGTATTTTTTCTGTTTGGGGTAAACCTAAAAGATGTGAATGACCTTTATAAATAAAATTGTAAAATTTTGTTGAAATACAGTAAGGAGAACCTAAAAAAAATGGTGAGCTCTAACTTGTTCATGGATTGAAAGAGTATCACTAAGATGTTAATTCCTCCCAAATTGTCCTATAAATGTAGTTTCATCCAAAATCCCTATGGGGCTTTTTATGGAATTTAACAAGTGAATTCTACATTTACATGGAAATGCAAAGAGCTAAGATAATTCTCAAGAAAAAGATAGACTTGCTCTACTGAGACATCATGATGTAACCATAAAATGGAATAACATACAGCAAAGAATATGAATGAACCACTAATATATTTATCAACATGAATGAATCTCAAAAAAATGTTAACATCAAACTAAAAAAAAAATCACCCTTCAAAATCAGGCAAATGAAGCTATCTATTTTAGGAATACTTACAGATGAGATGGAGGAAAAGCACAAAAATTAATAATAAAATCCAGAGTAATGGTTACGAGGGTCTGATGATAATTTATTAAGCTGAGTGGTAAATAAATAGGTGTTCATTTTACTATTCAATGTCTTCTTATACATTATTTTTTTTGTGTGTATTTTATAATAAAACAACTTAAAAGAATGGAAAGCTCAAAAAATAGTCATGCCGAAGCCCTAAAGTATATTAAATATTGCCATGCTATTTTAGATAAAGGTTTTTAAAAACATGTTAACTAAACTGAAAAGGAACAGGAAGGATCTCTCAAAAGTAAGTCTACATGTTTAAAATATTCAATTTTTGAATAACAGTCATTCTTGGGTATTACACATTAAATTTCCTAAACTGTCTACTGTTTCCAAATTAAAATGTTTGTACATTAACTACTGAGAACAAGTTCTTTACTTGGTGGGGTTGCCCCCAATCTGCATTTTAGTTCTGGTACTGTACAGCATTGCTAGCCAGTGAAATTATTTGAAATTTTTATCTCATAACAAAAATTGAAATGTTAAAGTGATATTAGTAATGATACAACATATACATATCCTAAAATGTGAACTATTGAAACAAACATAAAAATCATTAGATGTGCTAAAAGAGGGGGGATTCATGTGTTCATTGAATTTAGTCATCTGTTCAAATATGAAAGAAAATTAAAGAACATATATAAAATTAAGCAAATGGAATATTAAGGGTATACTTAGGGATTTCTGAGAAGTTGAACTCCACTGCATACTAAAGTCTACTGTTTGACCTATACGTTGTATTTTCATGTTTTCAGTAATTCATTTGCCACTAAAATTGCTGACTGCCTTACTGGGAACAAGTACCTAAAAATAACTGATCCAGTTACTTTCACCACTCTTTGATTAGCATTCTGAAGGAATGAAGGCAGCCAAGCAAAACCATGGTAGCAAAAGAAAACAAAAACGTTAGAGGCTAAGGAGACCTAGGCTTGGCTACTATGTGACCTTACGTTCAAGAGTACATTACGAAAGTTAAATCAGACGTTCCCTCTTATTTCTGTTTATTAGGTTTAAAACTCTACTCTTTAAATAAATGCACTGTATTGGATCAAAATAACAAAAAAAGGAAAAAATAATCTCGAATATGTAAATATGCAATAATTGCCGAGGCTTGAGATACAGATAAATTAGACATGTTCTCTATTATAGCAGAACATATAGATTCTAAAATAAAAGCACCATATTCCTTCAATCAGATATGCTACAAACAAAAATCTTACTGGTTTTAGAAAGGGGATGGAATTTTAATCAATGAAGGTATCTGTTTTTGATCCACTAGGAATACACAGTAATAAGTGAGAACAAATGAAATAGACACATTTATATAAATGCAATTGTAAAATAGTATTTTATTATTTTAATATAGTGCTGTAACATTTCATAATATTGCATACTGCTCAAATGTTGGTTTATTTGGTTAGGCAACAATATCCTCCCCACATCCTATCCCCCAACCAGAATTTAAAGATGCATTATCCTTTTAGAGCCCTATCATATTGGCTCATAATATGTCACATTTCATAAAACAGTAATACTATGAACTAAAATGAGTAAAGGTTAACAATGATTACTTTGATTTCACAGTTTCACAAAGCAGCCAGAAGATTGCTGAATTCAGAACAGCAACAAAACTCTATAAAGACTTTGTATTATAGTTACTTTTTCCATAATGCTCCTTCTTAAGAAAAAATATGAAGGCAAAGGTAATGCTTCTTTTAGTCCTTTATCCAACAAATCAAGTTTTAACTGCAAATAGGTTTTACAGTTACCAAATGATATGTTATTTCTGTGCCAGCAGATTTTATTACTTTTTTGGATTTTTTTGTTGTTGTTGTTTATTTGTTTTTTGCTTTTTTGTTCTGGTGCTACCAGTAAGTGAACATAATACCGCTAAAAATTAAGTTCTAGGAATCTCTTTCAAAAAGTAAAAAACACAACAAAACAAAATAACAACAACAACAACAAAAAAAAACAGACCAGTGAGTAAAGCACTTACAAATATAAAACAAGTAAGCACAATTGCATAGTTTAACTAGTAAAAATTCAAAATCAGGTCAAATAAAACAATGAATTTAATTAAATAAAAGTAAAAGACTCCTTCAAGTATTTTCTTGATTTCTGCATTAATGTTGCATGTGTTTCCCTTTACAACATATTTTAATTTTTTCTTTTGGCACAGCTTCTCTCGGATTTAAATATAATAGCTCTTAGGAAAGAAAGTTAAAAACTTTTTTTCCCCCACAAGTGTCAGTGAAGATTAATGAAAATATATTTTTGGAGCATTTAAATAGTACATCTGAAAGAAGTAGTCATTAGAAAAAAAGTTTAAGAACAAAGTATTTGCTAGTCTTGGTTCAATAAAGTCATCACCACAACAATAGCTGGTCCCAAATATTAGATTTTGTCCCTTGCATTCAGATCTAATCAAATTAATTATTTGCATAACAGATCCATGAAATTAAACATAATTTTAAATTTGAATGTTAAAAATATGGTTATATGTGTACTTAGAGATGTTTGTTTTACTGGTGAAAATTTAAAAATTCTCCCCTTAAAGGTCATTCTATATGTGTGTGTGTGTGTGTGTGTGTGTATGCACAAACATATATATTATTTTTCCTTCTATAAGAATTATTTTGTTTGAAAGACTTGGCTTAGAGATTTGATAATGTGACTACAGGGTTCTCAAAATAAAAGCAGGCACAGTTGGTTAGTTTATGAATTATGCTGCATTATTAAGTTCAACTGATTAGAAAGAGTGGAATTACCCTGTCACCTTATAGAACTGGTTATCTGTACCACAAAAATGTGTTTACTCATAAATTCATCTTCAATTTGGTAAGCTTTAATATAAATACCCTGTTCTTCTGAACATACATAATGCAAAAGAAAACTTTTTATACTAAACTTTATAACTTCCACTACAATAAAAAGGGCACAGATACAATCCTCTACTTAATAGAAAAGGGGTTTGGCAGATACAGTCAGCACTATGGACACCATTTAAACCTGTATGTGATAGCTGTAGGTTTTAAGTGTCTTGTCAAGAGTTTAGTTTCATGATATAATTTACAAAGTGTCATACTATTTAAAACTACTTATATATACATTTTATTGTTGTAACATGCCTCTGATTTCCAGCAGAAACATTATAAATGCTATCATAAATGAAATCTTTCTTTACAGAATAGACTATGAATCATATCAAAAATGCTTTAGTTCCCATCTTAAAACAGTTGTAAACTAATTTTTAAATAAGTATTTTAGTTATATAATTAGAAATGTAAATAGCCTGCATATAACTATAAATGAAAAAACTGAGTTCAACAGTACCATATATACCTAGAAAACTCTACCAAATATAGTACTGTGAAAATAACACACAGACACACACACATATATGTATCTATCAATAAATATATATGTAAGTCTTCTATTGAAACTTTTTTTTAAAGTTTCAGTTTGAAGAGGTTTTGCTTTTAATACATAAAACACATGCATTCTATTGACCAATCTGATACAAATGTAATTTAATACACCAATTCATGACAAGGAGCAGTATGACCCTCTATTACCAAAAAAATTTCCTAATATAGATTTCAACTATATTAAAGAATCCTTAGCAATTTTCATTAATACCATCTTTTAGCATCCAAACATTAAGGGTATTGAATAAACTTTAGCACATAAAAAGGTGATTTTTTTTCAGGATAATTTTGCCATTCAAGTACCTAACTTCATTATTAAACAGAAAATGAAACTTTTAAATCACTGCTCTGAAAAATCAGAGAAAGAATTACAGTATTATTTTTGTTATGCAGCACTACTTTAGATTCATGATGGCTTCTCTATCATGATGCTTTTTAATGAAGAGTGAAAAAATAATAAAACATTTTCAAAAATGGTAGTAGCACATTTGGTCAAAATACAAAATATACTAATAGCATTTATATGTTAAAAACAAATTGTAAATGTCGTATAATCATTTTAATGTGTTCAACATGAAGAACAGCTTCTCCACGATTGCCACATTTTAATTATCAGTACAATATTTCTTCTGTGTTTTATAAATAAATTTTACAGGTTTTCTGTTGTATTTTTTTTTTTTTTTTTGAAAAGAATAACCTACAGCACAGTGATCTATAATTTAAGGTACTATATATTTTCACATTCTAATTTAGCTTATTACAGGTTTTTCTGTTGTATTTTTTTTTTTTTTTTGCAAAGTATAACCTACAGCACAGTGATCTATAATTTAAGGTACTAGATATTTTCACATTCTAATTTAGCTTATACACTATTTCATGCTTCCAAAGTTTTTTTGTTTTGTTTTTGCTTCAAGATAGAGGTAGATTTAGTAGAGACTGGGCCTGTCAGACTTACCGCCGAAATGCAATTATAAATATCTGTACTGCTAATATGCAGTTTTCAAGAATGCTAGAAAAAAATTCAGAACCATATGTAATACTTTACCAAAGTTTTCCTTTTCAAGCTTGTTATTAAATAATTTCATAATGGTTCACGAATAGATGAAAATAGATAAAACAATAAGACAAACACAGGCATACCAAAGTAAAAACAAAACTATACCAAAAGATTATATCTGAATGGAAACCTTTGTTTCGTTTTGCTTTTTAAAAGTGCATCAAATTCTTTTTCTGTTCTACATAAAAACACATCAAACGTTCCTACTGCCACTGTAACAAAGAAAAGATATCTGAAATTACCCTTTTTAGCCATTAATTTTCGCCCCCATCAAGTTAAAGTTGAAACCCTTCCATGGGTGCTTCCTGCTGCTGAAATACAAACTGTTGTTGGTTTTCATCCACCTGAGGCACAATGCTGGGGTCATCGTCTTCTACACCAAAGTAATGTTCAATCAGATCAAAAGCCTTTTGGTAAATTTCTTGATTTTCATGGCTTTGCAGAAATTCGATTTTATCCAGACCTGTTATACAAAGCATATATACAAACAAAATTGTTACTCAAGTTTCAATATATGTTTAAAACAAAATAATAAATCAATAGCATCTATCAGTCTACTGGCAATGGGATTGCTATTTTAATCTAATTTTTGCACATACTGATAACTGACAACTTATGCCTTATTCTTCAAGAGAGAGTATGAGCAGTGCGGTATGAGGAAGTAGCACAGGCCTATGAATAAGAAGGTCACAGATTCCACCCTGCAAGCTATGTGATTTTGCCCAAATAAATCTGGTTCCTCAGTACTTTAGTTTCTCAATTTTAAAATTACACTATTATATTATGTAACTTCCCAGGTCTTTCCAGAGTAATTGTGCTAAATTAAAAGTATAAAACGGGAAAACAACAAAACAAAAACAAAAAAGTAAAACATGAGCAACTAAACTATCAATATAAAAATTTGAGTACTATTTGAAAATCTAATATAGCTAATGTATAATTTATAAAAAGTACAATGTATAAATAAAACTGAAAAAGCCCATTTTGATAGGATAAGGAGAATCCACAGCGCTCTCTTTTATTACTCACAAGAAAAAAAATCTCCACACAAGTCTGAGTGATGCTGAAATTATTTCTCATTTAACTATAGATAAACTTCTTCAATTATATTATTGCAGGATACAAAGAATAAACAAAGTAGTCACATCTATACACAATCATAGACTATCTCCAACTATAGTATAACTTGGGATCAAAATAATGACTTCAGTAAGGAAATATTTTAAATCAGTGATTAATATCTTGTATTTATATAATATCTTAATCAGTGACATTATATAATTTAAAATAAAGGCATAGTTTAAAAATTTAAATATCCTAGGCATAGTTTAAGAATCATAATAAAAGCTTGAATCAATCATATAACGGGACTTATGACAGAAAGTGAGTATTTAACAGAAATACATTAAAAGGAAAAACATCAACTTATATTTATTCCTTATCCTAAAATAAATTCCACCTGCGTTAAGTTAAATTTTTAAGAATCCAACCAAAAAAAATCTAGCCAAAAAAAAAAAAAAAATCATCAAATCTCTGTAGGGGTAACGACTTTGTAAACTTTGAAGAAATAGAAGATTAGATTGAGTTACTTATTAAATATAAATGAACGTGGTTTGTCTTATTAAAATAAAAAAGTTAGAGAATGGGAGAAAAGCCACATTAAATGACTAAAATGAAGTTAATTTGTTTTTACCAAAAAAGACAAATAGGTAAATGGAAAAAGTACAATAAGTATGCAATTCATATGAGAAAATACACTAACACATGGAAAATACACACCACCTTCTACATGAGCTAAAACAGAAGATACATAAAAATAACTTGGTGATACAATTTTTTATCTGCTAAGTCAGCAAAATCAACAAGTGGTTATAGATTCATACAATGCTAGTGACACAGTTAAGTCACATGCCCTTGAAAAACAAAATGAGAAAACATACCAAAAGCTTAAAAACAAGTCTATGCCTAAAACTCAGCAATAGCATTCCTGAAAATTTACCCCAAAATATTTCAGTAGAAAAAAAATTATATTCAGAAAGATGCTTATTTTGGCATACATAAAGTTGTAAACAAATGGAAACAAATTAATGGTCAACTACAAGAATATGGCTAAAACTGCATTCAATATGCTAAAACAACATGATATTCACTTAACATTATGTTGGCTATTAAAAATTATAATTGTGTAGAAATATAAAATTTCTCCAAAACATTAAAAAGTAGAACACAAAATTATACACTGAAATTATGTCAATGTAAGGTGTGCATAAAGACAAAGTATAAAGAAAGGCAAGTAATGAAAAAAATTATTATGGTAATAGAATTAAGGGTAACTTAAAAACTATTTAAAAACTATTATATTACTTTTACACAAAATATCTTTATGGAATTAAAGGGGGAGAATGACTATGGAAGATAATTAAGAACAGCCTAACTCTCAACAAAGTGGGTATAGAGGGAATGTACCTCAACATAATAAAGGCCATTATTTGATAAGCCTACGGCTAACATCATACTTAATGGTGGAAAACTGAAAGGTTTTCTTCTACAATCAGGAACAAGCCAAGGATGTTCACTCTCATTACGTTTATTAACATAGTAAAGGCATCTACAGAAAGATGTAAAACTGTCACTATTCACAGATGACTATATTATATGTAGAAAATTCAAAAGACTCTACCAAAAAACTGTTAGAACTAATTAATTAATTCAGTAAAGTTTTGGGATATGAAATCAATATACAAAAATTTGTTGTGTTTCTACACACTAACAAACTATTAGAAAGAGAAATTAAGAAAACAATCCTATTTATAATTGTATCCAAAAATTACCGAGGAATAAATTTAACCAAGGAAGTGCAAGACTTGTACACTGAAAGCTATAATGAAAGAATTGAAAAAAGACACAAATAAATGAAAAGATATTCTATGCTCATGAATCGGAAGAATCAGTATTTTTATAATGTCCATACTACTCAAAGCAATCTACAAATTCAATGCAATCCCTATCAAAATTCCAGTGGCATTTTTTTACATAAATAGAACAGATGATCCTAAAATTTGTATGGAACCACAAAAACTCCAACGGCCAGAGCAACCTTGAGAAAGAATAACAAAGGTGGAGGCATCATGCTCCCTGATTTCAAACTATAATACAAAGCTAAAATAATCAAAACAGTATGCTAGTGACATAGAAAGAAATCAATGAACCAGAAAAGAGAGCCCTAACGTAAAAAAAGAATATTGTCATTTGTGACAACATGGATGGACCCTGTGTTATTATGCTAACTGAAATAAGTCAGATAGAGAAAGACAAATACCATGTAATCTCATTTATGTGGAATACAGAAAATAGATCGGTGGGTGCTCGAGGTAGCAGGTGGAGGGTGGGTGAATAGGTGAAAGGGGTCAAAAGATACAAACACTTCCAGTTATAAATAAATAAGTCATAAGTATGTAATGTACAGAATGGGACCATAGTTAATACTACTGTATATTTGAAAGTGCTAAGAGAGTAAATCTTAAAAGCTCTCATCACAAGAAAAAAACTTTATGTACTTATGTATGATGACAGATGTTAACTAGACTTATTGTGGTAATCATTTCTTAGTATATACAACATCAAATTATTAAGTTGTACACCTGAAATCAATTTAATGTTATATGTCAATTATATCTCAATTAAACAAAAGGACTGACTGTAATTATAAAATTTTAAGTGACTGCTTACCATATGCTTCTTCAATGAGAGCACAGTATGGATTAATGACTATCCCATTCTGCTTAGATTCTTGTTCTCCAAGACGTAAAATATTTTCAAGTCCATTTAAAGCCACTTGGACTATTTTAGAGTCCATAACTGTCAACAGGTCACAAAGTGGTTTAATGCAGCCTAAGGCTACCAAATACCTTCAGAGTAATAAAAAAAAAAAAAAAAGGGGGCAGGAAAAAACATTGAAAAAGACTTAAATATTATTTATAGTAATGACATAAAAATATTCTTCAGTGAAATGTTATATAAACAATTAAGAAAATATTCCTATAGACTTAAACATTAAAAACAATTTACATAGGAACCTGAAAATTTTTTCACTCTCTTGTTCTCAGAATTTAACACAATTAATAATAAATGGTATTACAAATATTACAAAAATATACATGCAAAGAAATTGCTAAGTAGATTAGAGGTTTTTCTATTTATTTTAAAGGTGGGCCTATGTACACATATAGGGGTCAGATGGGGAAGGTAGAAATGGAGAGGGAGAAGGGACATCCAAATTAAACTTCAGGAAGTACCCCACAAAAACATTCTGAAACATCTGCTCTGTTTCAGAAGCATAAGAGGCTTCTAGGAGCAAAACAGGCCATGTTGTGAATAAGTTTAGTTATGTTCATAAAATTTCTGATTTTCATGATGTTTTGTTCTTTTCTAGTTCTTATTATCTCTTTTTCCATTCTCTATAATGTAAATAAGGTAACTGATTGTTTCAATTGGCAAAAGTTCATATTAAGCATAAAGGTAAAAAATATGCTTGAAGTCAGACTGCATGGCTTCAAATTCCAATTCCACTCCTTATTAGTTGTGTGACTGAGTAACGTCTCTGTGCCTCGGTATCCTCATCTTAAAACGGGGATAATAATAGAACCAAACTCAGAGGGTTGCTATGAAAATACAGTAGGCATTCAATAAAAGTTAGTTTACATCCTCCTTTTTTTTCAATGTACATATCTTCACTAGAGCATTCGCTTGCCATTTACTATACTGTAATTCATCAAATATATTTACTGAGTGAATAAATATCTCAGAGAGTTATGAAATTAAAGGAGAAAAAGATGTGAAAGCACACTACTGGTGCTCAACAATCGAAATGATTAAGCACAAGTGGCAATGTTAGACAGACACTCCACAAATATTAGTGGTATGCATGACAAACCTCATCTGAGATCAAGACTTCTTCCCATATATGTGATTTAATGAAAAGGTGAAAATGGTTAAAAAAAAAAAATAATGCTCTCAATTTGGATACTTGCTTTGTACTAATAAATTTAAGGAATAATATATGGAATAGACATAATAACAAAAAAACTAAAAAACTATTTGGAGGTGAACAAATAAACTCTGGGATCCAAAAACATAAAAACGTTAGCATTAAAAAAAATACAAGCTAGACCAAAGGAAAGATCTTGTTTTATTACTGCTTGTATTCATGACACAAATGAAATGGAAATATTGATTAAAGCAAAGAGGTAGAATGGAAATAAAAAGCAGAGACAGATGTCAACATACAGAGATATGAATTTGAGAGAGCAAGATACAGTACAAATGAAGGCAATAATAGACAATGATCTCACAATAAGTAGATTTCAAAATCCTGTAATTTTTAAAATAGCCTAGTAGCCTGACTTCTTGTTTTATAAATTAAGAAACAAATAAAATACTCATTAGAAAACACTTCCTAAATGGTCATTTCAAGAAAGCAAAAAAATCCTGAGTTTCACGGAGGTATAATCAGAACAAGAAGATTCTGTAGGATGTCAGGCTTTTATTAAGTGCAACTTATATAATTTTGCTATGGGGGGGAAAAAAGAGTAAAAGTACAAGATGAAAAGTGACTTTGAAATCAATATTGATAAAAATTACAATTATTACAAATATTACTGATAATAACAGTTAATCTTAGTAGAGAACGTAATGTTTAGGCACCACACTAAACTAAGCACTTCAAATGTATGAAATGCATTTAAGTGTCAAGATAATAACTATAAGGTACCACCCATTATTGAATTCATTTAAAAAAAATTAAACTGTAGATTAGAGAGGTTACATGATTTTGTCAAGGTCATACAAGTTGTACTGAAGGAGCAGGATTTGAAAGAAAATCCTGTAACTACTGTTTGTGTTGTTAGTAAAAGAAACAAGCAAATAAATAATAAAATGCCTAAATTCAAAAAGCTATCATAAAAAAGAAGAAAAAAATAGTACAGAAAAACAAAAGGAAGGTATTATCCATAAGTAAGTCTAATAATGCTTAGGACATTATTATATAAATGAATGTCTATTTCAATTTTACTTTAAATAAGTAGATATTTAACTTTATTAGCCATTTCTATATAATAAAGTTACAAGTATGTAATTTAATGGTCTAAAAAATACTTAATGCCCATGAGAGTATTTAATAAAAAGTATTTAATGCCCATGACTATTCTTTTTCAGAATTTTAATCTGATTTTTCATAGTCTGCCAAGGAGAATGATGTCAATTATACTTTAAACGAAAAAAATAAGCCACTGTAAATGAATAATATAACTGATATAACACTGTCATTTCACATTAGAAATGCTTGTTAAACTGACAAAATGTTTTAGTTTCATCAAAAAATAAAAAGTATATATTATTTCAAATTTTGTCTCATTTACATTTATTTTTTTTACATTTAAAAACAATTTTAAAAAATCTGTATCGCACCTTATTTGTTCTGGAGTGCCTCCTGATGTTGCATTAGTTATAGCCCAAGCTGCTTCTTTTCTGGTGCGAAACTCTGCTTTCTGAAGAATCTCAATCAAAACAGGAAAAATATTTGCATCTATAACAGACTAAAGAGGAAAAATGATATAGCATAATCAATGCAAATACAGTTTTAAAAATATTAGTAAGTAGAGGATCTTGAAATTCATTGGCTTTAAAATGTCAGGCTTTTTGGAAATACCTTTGGAAATATTTTATTTCTAATCTTTCAATAAACTTTCACATACCTTCCTTTTAAGACTGGAGAATATATTAGCAGAAATTAAATTTTAAGTGTGATAAAGCACAAGGCAGATGACTAATAAAATGGATAAGTAATTACTGACTCAAGGAGCTTGACAGGGCCCTAATAAATCATTATTCAAAAGTTTCAAGAAGAAGATCATTGCCTAATTTTTCTAAAATTAATGAAAATCACTCCCTTTTTAAAGACTAACCCTTATTTGTCAGGCACTGTGCTGACAATTATAGACACACACACACACACACACACACACACACACACACACAATTGCTATTCCTCATTAGAATACTTTAAGTAAATGTTATTATTTTAGAAAGGGAAAGGCTATGCTCTTTAAAATACTTTTCAAGAATCTTTAAGAATCTTTTTGAGTAAACCACTAAAAAACAACAGTGATAAAATACTGACTTTTTTTCTAAACTAACTTCTGAGATCTTCGTCTTTTCTCTGAAAAGTTATTTACCTGAATCTGAGCTCTATTTCCAGCAGTAATATTGGAAACAGTCCAGCAGGCTTCTTTTCTGATTGACTCCTTTGGGCTACTCAATAAGTGTAAGAGACAGGGTAATGCAGAGCAATTCAAAATTACCTAAAAGTTAGAAATGAAAACAGAGAGTTTTACAGCAAAAAACAATCAGGGAAGTGTTTCCTTACTATTGTTCTTTCCATTCTCATAATCTAGGTCTTCAATCTACTATAAAAGGCCCTTCCATTTCCCACCCCACTTCTATTTATAATCGATCATTTTCTCTGTTTCACTGTTTCCATTCATTCCAGTCAAGTTTAACGCCTCTTAAACATACCACACATCTGTCTGCCTCTGAACTTATGGTCAGAACTCACCTGTGTTTGAATATCATCACCAGTCACAATATTACCAACTGCTCTTAATGCAGGTGATACAACTTTATAATCATTGTGCCTAAAATAATAAAAATATGAACTTACACACTATTTAAGAATTTAAAATTTACAGAAAATTTACAAAAATAGTACAAAAAATTCCCCTATACTCTTTACCCGGAGAGCCGATTCGAGTTTTACTAATCATCACAGTAATATCTCTATAATAAAGAATCTAATCCAGTATAATGTGTTGCACCCAGTTGTCATGTCTCTCCAGACTCTCTTAATTCCAAACAGTTACTTAGTATTTCTTTGATTTTCATGATCTTGACATTTTTTATAGTCATAAGCCAATTATTTTTGTCCAGTGTTTCCTCATGGTTAAGATCCAAGTTATATACTTTTCGCTAGGATAATACAAATGCTATAGTATTTTCATTACATAGTATTGGATAGCATATGTTATCTATTTTGTCTGGTCAACTTAATTAAGATGGTGTCTGCTATTTCTCCATTTTGATATTACTGTCTTTCCCTTTGTTATTAATATTTTATAAGGAAATGCTTTTAGACTACGTAACATCCTATCCCTTAACAGTCTAGCAGTCTCCAATCTTTTTGGCTCCAGGGACCAGTGCTCTCATGAGAATTTAATGCCTGATGATCCAAGGTGGAGCTGAGGAGGTGACACTAGCACTGGAGAGCAGTTGCAAATACAGATGAAGCTTCACCAGCTTGCCCACCACTCAAATCCTGCTGTGAGGCCCGGTTCCTAACGGGCCATGGATGGGTACTGGTCAGTGGTCAGGGGATTGGGGACCCCTGCGTTAACCTACTTTCACCACTAGTTTTAGCATCTCCTCATGTTTATTGTCTGAATTATTAATAATTAGTATTGTTGCAAATGATAACTTTCTAATACTATCATTCCAACTATGTGCCTTTCCTATCTATCTATTGATCTACTTATTTTAGTGTGAACTCATGGATTCCTATTTTATTCAATAAGTTATAGTATTATAATTTATTTCAATGCTCAAATCATCCCAGGTTTAAAGAGTAGGAGTCCCTTCAAGTGGACTTTTGTGTCCTTTTAACATTTCTCCATGCTTTGACCACTCATTATTTTCTAGGTTCATCTTATTTTTTTCTCAGTCTCAGATCTGGAATTACTTTTATTAACAGGTACTATGAGAGCAGGTACTATGTTCTGTACTTCATAAAAATATCTTATAGAACGCTCTATCAGATAACAGGCTTTCCATACATACGTGTTGAATTAAGTCCCTCCTATTCATAAAGAGATTAAAACTAATGAAATTCATTAACAAAATGATCAATGCCAACCAAATAATAAAAGATACAAGTTTAACAATCAACTTTTCAGTATTACAGCTATTTTGCAATGTGGGGTTGGTAGCTTTTCAATTCTTCCCATAGATAGTGACTCTTGATGTATTTACGAGGCCATTATTCTAATTGCTAAACTTAATACACAATCATACAATTACTAATCATAAATTATAGTTACATCAAAAGTTCCACCAATCTTCGACAGACTCCAGAATCAATGACTGCTTGAATTTTATCATTGGGTCCATCGGAGAGATAAGAAAGGGCCCAACACACATCTGCTAGTACATCTGGGTCACTGCTAAATAACAATCGTGACAGGACATTTAAGCAAGGTGAAACCTGGAAGAAAAAGCCAATATTTAATTTTTTTCTCTATCTAAAACCAAGTTTCTTGAGAAAAATATAGAAACCTATTTTAAAACCAAAATTTAATGCTACAAAAATACCAGATAAACATTCCATTTAAAATTATAACCAGATATAAACATGACACTGATTGTGACTCCTACTAATCTTACATAAAATATGTGGTAATTTCAAGTTTGTAAAAATGAAACGTATTTGTGATCCCCTATGTTTACATCATACACACATTCCAAAAAGGCATATCAAAATTGAGAGAAATAAAAATGTTTCTGTTAAGTGTTTAATATAATGATCATGGAATATGATCTAACTTAACCTCACTTTACTTATTACATGTACATTATGGAAAGTAAATCTAATAATCATTTGAGGAGCAAAGGTATAAAAAATGCAAAAAGAAATCTGAAATTTTTTAATGGAAGTCATTTATAAACTGTTCTTCTTAATGTACTGAAACCCTAAATCATCAATTAAAAAGCACCCATGACAAAAGAGATTTTAATCCCTCTAGCATTAATACTACGACTAATCAGTTGTGAGATGAGCAAGTCACTTCACCTCTCTGAGCCTCAGTTTCAGAATATGTGACAAAAAGAGGCTGAATAGATAAATTCTATGATCCTTCCTCTCAAATCAGACAGATCTCTGTTCAAACACTACTCACCAACTGTGTAACCATGGGCAAATAACATAACATCTCTAAACCCCAATTTCTTCATTTATAAATAAGGATAATATGGTAGTGTTAAATTAGTAAGAATGTATGTAGCAACTTAGAACAATTTCTGGCATATAATAAGCACTCGGATATTGGCTCTTTTTATTGCCATGGTTACAACTAATTCTATATTTCTTAAAGTTTTTTTTTTAATCAGTAATCTAACATATCCTTTAGTCTCTCTCTTAAAATGTTAAATGTTAGATATGCCACAAATGAAAAGTGATGACAGCTTTTTTATGTTTTAATATTTTAGATGAATTTTTTCTTCACCTC